TAAATTTATTTTTTTTTAACTCCGGAAACACGTCAATTTAATATTGGTATTTTCTCATTATCAGTGCGATTATTAAATCATTCGAGCTGATTTACTATATTACATGTCGTAAAACAGTACAAAAATTAGTGTATTTACCCCTATTAAAAAGGGGGCTGCAACCCTTCGGTATAAATGTTATGTCCGTAAAAGCGCCTTTTTATAACAAATTTTTTAACATTGAGTTTACTGAAAAATATTCATTTGATGCTGAGAAATATTAAAAAAACTGATTTTAGGGGTTGACTTTCAGGGTAGATTTCATCCCTTAAAAAGCCCTTATAGGCCGATAAAAAAAAACACGTATCTAATTTTTTTTCAAGTACTACAACATATCCCAAAATCATTCAAATAGGTAAGGTCGGGTTGGGGTGGTACCCTTGTTAGTAATTTTTTACATGCATTTCCTTCAAACGAAAAATTACCACTGTTAGTAAAACTTTTATAGACATAACATTCTTTCGCCCATTTCATTGCACAATCTAGATATTGTTTATGCATGTTACTATAGAGCGATTGGCACAACCTAATAAAAGATGTAGTTCGGAAGGAGCAATTACTTCTCAAACTAATTGATAACACAGTCCGAAGAGATTTTTGCACAAGCAAACCATACATGGTTCCCCGAAGAATTTTTGGCGCTGAAACCGAATCCGGCCTCAGAATTTCTCCAACACGTCAGGATTTTGAGATATCCTAACCTAAATATGCGAAAATAGCGATTTTTGCCTATATTTGAGGTTATGTAGCACTACGACATTTTCTATACACAAAAAACTATAAACGACAACTTAAAGTAGCAGCCTAGTCCTTTTCAAATGCCGTTGAGTTTGCTCAAATAGCTTATTTTTTCTTTGAGATATTGTATTTTAAAGTTTTTCGATTTCATAAATATTGTACCTTTCAGAACATACTCGTACAGCTTTGAAAGTTTCAACGTCGAATTGTATGTTAAACGACTTCAATCAACTACTGTTCTGCAAGAAAATTAAAATATATACCATAGACAGGCTAATCTACCTTTAACCTAAATTATATTATTCCCACAAATCCTTACAACTCTTAAAAACCACCCCTGCCAACCCTCAAACAGGTTAACCTACCTACGATAAATCTGAGTAGAGCGAGTTTAATCGACTGCTTTTCTATGAGGAACGTAAAATCTTAACCAGATAGGCTTACCTGTTGTCTTCTTGATGTACTCTATCCTCAGAAAACACTACAACCCACAGAAACCCCCTCTACCAACCCCCAAGCAAACTATATGGTTTGCTTGTGCAAAAAATTAAGGTATTTTTGTAGGACTGTGTAATTGTTTGCATATAATAATGGCGAATGAGAAGAATTTGAACAATTTTTAACTTTGTTTGTTATACTTCCATAATTATACCAATTATTGTAATTATTAAGGCAACTTGTTACTGTTTTTGAATCACCATATAAAAGTAAATTATATTTTGTGACTTTACACCAAATACATGGACAATAGTTTGCATTACTTTTTAGTCCCATAATTACGTTACTAAGCTTCAAAACCGTAGTTATTGATCCTAGGTAATAACCTAGGTTATAAATTTATTTATTTGTAGTTTGAGTCATAAAAGTTTTACATTATTATAATTTTCTTGCATCGCTGGAATAAGCACAATGATAAATATTTTGTTGACTCCAGTGTCTTTTCACTTTCCAGAGTTTTTGAAAGCCTTCTTGTCACAGGTTTTTTTCTGATTTAGACTGAATAAATAACATAAATTTCAAAGAATCTCTACCACCGTCAATCCCAAGATTCAAATGAAAATCATAAAGGTTTCGTTCACTAATTATAATTTATATAAATAACTTTAAGTTGTTACAATCAATTGCAGAGTTTTGAACTTTTAATATTACGTAATTTTATACATTCTCAAAGTCACATGAATCTACATCAAAAAACTTATCCAAACTATAAGACTTTTGCATAATTTTTTCATAATCATAAGATTCAATAACATTGCTTCAGCCTATTTCTTTTATGAATTTTGATATATTTCGCACCCGCTTATGAGATAAATTTATGTCAATTTTTAAGTTGTATAAATCATCAGACGATATTTAGTTTACTATTTTTTCTTTTGGATTAACTGTAACAGTTACAGACTTCCCATGCTGTTTAGACAATGACAGTTTTATATTCGACTTTCCTTTTTGCGCATTTGTTTTATTTATTTTATCCTCTAATAGTAAAGAGGTTAATTGGTCAGATTGTTTAGATGCATTCTGAACATAGTTTGCATAGTTTTGCAGAAATGTACTGTTGTTGCAAATGTGACTAACATGAGATCAAAGTAAAACAATTAGCATCGCTTAACAGGCTTTACAAGTTTAAATAACGATGTTTATCAACTATTAATTTTATTTAAATTTCCTTTTCTACACCTTATTTCATTACATAAAATACATTCACACAGTTTATCTGACAAGTAACCCTATCCAACTATCACTCACCTATTTCAATAAAACTTGGCAGAGTGATAGAACATTAGAAAATATTAGATACGTGTTTTTTATACCGGTCCTAACTCAATTTTAGAGGTGAAACCTAACCCTATCAAACCACAAGCTGGCCAACCCGCCCAGCCCTGGTAACAGCGAGTTTATTTGTTTATTTTCGTAAAATACTTGAATTTCAAATCACAAGCCAATTAACCAACCTAACCACCTACGCTCTGACCCATCTAACCTCTAAAACCACTCGTACCAAACTACAAGCAGGCTAATCTGTCTAGCCTTGGGAACAGCGAGTTTAACAGGAAGTTTTTTAATAAAATAATTACGATGAGTCCTCTCGCGCCCCTCACATTCAGGGTGCTGGATTACCGTGAGTTTCCTCGTCTCTGATGTTCGAGGTAATGAATTACGTGAGTCTCTTCGCCTCTCATATTCTTATTACTCTTAACGTTGCCCAGAAACAACAAGGTGAACGTGGCAAAAATTTGTTCCCTTTGGGGTACTTAATTAATGTAAGTCCCGTCATCTCTCACAATCGGGGTGCTTGATTAACGTGAGCCCCCCTGCCTCGCACGATCAGGGTGCTTGATTAACGTGAGTCCCCTTGCCTCTCACTATCAGAGTGTTTGATTAATGTGAGTCACAAATCATTGAAATTTGGTTTGGCTAAATGGTTATTTTACGTATTTCTCATAGTAGTAAAGAATATATTATTCTGTAATTGCAAAAAAGTATTACATACACAGAGAAACAGTACACCATTCGCATTTTACAACGGCTATATTATTGCATTTTTCACGTGTGTCATTTACATATTTTAAACAAAAATCTACTGGAGTATCAACCTTCATTGGTTTTTTCTGAATAAAGCCACATTTACACCAAGCATACTTAAGACCAGTAGTTCTTGCAGGTATAGTATATATTTCGACTTTTTTAATGCCTTTATTTGTATCTGTGAGAACTTTTTCGGTCTGCCCTATCCTAAAGTCGACACAGAGATTACTTTCATTTGCAACAGCAGGTAAATAAATTTCTTCAAACCATTTCGCCGTCAGATTGGATTTCAATTTTCCTGATTTTGACATCTAAGCTATAATGTTTGGTGCTTTGTGCATAACTTTTGTTACCAAGGGTCAAAATTAACCGTTAGCTTATCGCAAAACTATTAACAGTGGAGATTTTTAAATTCGACCTGCAGAAACAATAGGTTGAATAGAGTAATTGAGACTCAACGAATTTAGGGATTGAGTAATACATTCGAGTTTTTTTGCACCTACAAATGATAAAGTCCTTCTAGCATGAAATTCAAGATTGAATCCGGATTGATCTGTATTGTAAATATTTTCTCAACCTAAACAATGAATTACTGATGTAACATGTTTGCCCCAAATTAAATCAACAACTTTTGTTAAAGTAATTATATTTTTATGAAATATAATTATATTTTAAAACGAGAGAAAATGATTTTTTATGGAAACAAACGTCTTTACTATTATGTTGAAAATAATTTGTTAAAAAATTATTTACGAACATTTTAATAACGTGAACTTTTTGATAACAGGTAAAAAAATTTTAACTAATAGCGGCCGGTCAAGCGCCGAAATCTCTAGTCTCAATCTTCTTTTATTTGTGTCTACATCGAAAAGATTAATTGACCATATATTAACAAATAACTTTTTAAATTTAAAATTTTTTTTGGGTTTAATTAAAACCGATCTACCGATATACACGATGAGAAACTCAAAATCGAGATGAGAAATCTTTTTCTTAATGCAGCTAGGTGCTTCCTTCTATACTTCATTTCTTTTGGCCAAGCGTTCCCTCTTATCGCTTCCCTTACTACAAAAATGTCTTTCTAGATCATAAACGCGTCATGCTACCATCAACGAAGATCACAAGCCATTATATATTGTCCTCACCTTCTAAAAGTATATACCGTCGTTGGTGATAGTCACATTTTACAAAAGTTAAATAATAATCGATGGCTTATTTAATTATTTCACGCCTTTATTAAAAGAAAATATATTCCATGAATAAATCTATCAAAGATAATAACAGATGATATATTTATCAAGCATTTTAGTATACTTCAGATACATTCGTAGCAAAAAAGGGGATGTAGATGTAAAGCTCTGGATACACTTAAGGGAAAAATTGAGTTTTACAAAAATTTATTTCATAAGAAAGAGTTAGATATGACGAAATTTTATGGCTAATATTATAGCTATATCTACAATTTTCTAGACAAACAAATTGTATTTATGCATTTTGTTTGTCTACAATATTGAAGACAAATAACAAAATGTGGAAGAAGTTATTTTAAAGGGAAATATTTCTTCGGAATAGTCTAGTTCCCTAAAAAAGTTTATCTCTTTGTAGTAATATTTATGTTAAAATGAATTTAGTAAAACTATTAAAACTAATGACTCATTTTTATAGAAGGATTTTAATAAGACTAAAATTTACAATACCTGAAATAATTTTGCAGCTAACTTCAATCCATCGTCATTTTCAAAAGATTGAGAAGATGCAACACAACTTTGTAAAGCTGCTATATTGAAGAGAACACAAATCTTTTCATATGCTAAAGTGGTTATAGCTGCAAAAATTAAAACTATTTGAAATGTTGTTTATTATTGTGTTCCATTAAGCCATCTTCTAATTATTTTAATTTCTATAGAAATAAGGTAGAAAGGAAAGAATTCATATGCCGATGGAAAATATTAGAATATTATGTGTTACAAGCGATAGAAATAGAACAAAAGGTCCAAGCCCTCGTCCTCTTCTTACGTACATGCTGGCTGTTCGCGGAATAGTTGTGAAAATTCTTTTGACTATGTATGCATACAGTGAGAGAGAAATACGGAATTTTATATATATTATACTTCACGATTTTTCCAACGTTTTTCACTTTTCAATGCCTAAAATTTAACATAAAATAGAAAAGTATACAAAAATTAAAAATTACGAAATAGAAAAAATTATAAATTGATAGATGAAACTTTAGCCTTTATCGAATTTCTTATATGTTATTTGATCAGAAACACAGTTTTAGCAAAAATAATGGAAATATCCTCAAGTTTTTTATCTGTTTTTATTGGATAAGTCAGTTGAATTAATAAATGACCGAATTATGCCTTTATTAATAAATAATGGGAGGTCAATAAGTCTTTACAAAATCCAAGAGATGGCGCTCGTCACGCTTAAATTATGATGTTTTTGGCAAGCAATACTACTAACTAGATATACAAAGTTGCAACTCGATTCATTAAGTCGTTTTTTTGTGAGCGTTGGTTGAACAAAAAGTTATTGGTTTATTTGAAAAATGGAAAAAACAAAGTTTCGAGCGGTGATGAAACATTTTCATTTGAAAGACCTACATCAAAAGAAATCACAGTTGCGTTGAACGCCGTTCATGGCAAGTCTGCCCCTGTGTTTAAGACCGTTTGTAACTGGTTAAATGAATTTAAACGCGGCCGTACAACAACAAAAGATGAACCTCGTTCAGGACGCTCCGTAGAAGTAAGTACGCCCGAAATGGTCAACAAAATCCACGATATGGTGTTGAGTAGTAGAAGATTAAAATTGCGAGAATTAGTTGAGGCCACAAGGGTATCAAAAGGTACAATAATTTCAATTTTGCATGAAAAATTGTGGATGAAAAAAATATCAGCAAGATGGGTGCCACGTTTGCTCACTGTTGAAAACAAATCAACCCGCGTGGTCACCTCGGAGGCTCTTTTAGCACGCATACGTTGTAATCCGGAAGACTTTTGGCGTCGACTTGTAACTGTAGACGAAAAATTGGTACACCACTACACTCCTGAAACCAAAGAACAGTCCAAACAATGGATTACCGCAGGAGAACCAGTCCCAAAGAAGGCAAAGACAGTAAAGTCAGCTGGCAAGATTATGGCCAAGGTTTTCTCGGATGCGTATGGAATCATCTACATCGACTACTTGGTCAAGGGTCAGACGATCACTAGACAATATTATGCGTCATTATTAGGTTAGCTGAAAGAAAAAATCAGAAAAAAACGTTCTCACTTGAACAAAAAAAATGCCTCTTTCTTTAAGACAATGCTCGAGTTCACACGTGTGCAGTTTCGATGGCAAAAATTAACGATTTGAAGTTCGAATTAATTGACCATCCACCATATTCGCCTGATTTGGCTTCCAGTGACTTTATCTTATTTCCTAACCTCAAAAAATAGCTTGCCGGACAACGATTCACGTCGAATGAAGAAGTCATTGCCGAAACAAATGCCTATTTTGAGGGTTTTCAGAAATCATATTTTTCTGATGGTTTAAAAAAACTGGAAGGCCGTTTAATAAAATGTATCGACCTTCAAGGAGATTATGTTGAAAAATAAAAAAAAATTACATACTCAAAACTTTTTTTTTTCTTCTTTTTGTAAAGACTTATTGACCCCCCCCCCCCTCCCTCGTATTATATTAGCCCATAATGTTATACAAAATTGAACTTGCGCATTTAACAATTTCGATTACATTTTGTAACGATATTCGTTAATTGTCGCGCGGATTGATCAATACAGCGAGCATGCCCACGAGGGCAGCACTGACTGGCATGCATGTCGACACATTGCGGCATGCGCACGGGCAGAAGTGTGACGAGAGAGAGAGAGAGAGAGAGAGAAAGAGAGAGCCTGGTGGCTTTATTTTTTTTTATTTAAACTTTCGAGCTAGCTTCGAACAAGACGGCGTGACCGGTACGACAACGTGCTATCAGCTTTGGTGCTGAGAGAAAGAAGAAATGAACAATTTCAGGAGCTATGACATAGCTGATGACAGGGACACTTGAGCATCGCACAACATATTTTTCACGGGATCCTTCAGAGAGTATCCGGTGCATTGGTTTTTTTTTGGCACTGGTGAGTCAGTGCAGCGTGATTCGCTCAATTATACAGGTAGTCTATCCAGCATTCGCGTCCATATTTACGCAAATAACTTGATATTTTTCTTTGTTATTATGGTGGAGACGTGGTAGCTAGCGGACGATCTCGCGAAAGATCGTCAATTAATGCACACCGCGATCGTGGCGTCAAAAGCCCAACCCAAGATAGTACCCACTACGAGATAAGCGGTTAACACTTTTTAATCGCAGACCGGCGATATTTGTTGAAAGTATAATGACTAGAAAGCGAAATAAATCTCACCGGAAGCAAATACTGTAATATTAAAGTAAACGTAATCTTCTTGGCTAACTCATCCCTAAATCCATCTAGCGCACGATCGAAGGTATTATTCGGCGCCGCGCTTTTGCCGCATCCTTCTAGTGAGTGAGTCGGGAAACATCTCCTCTTGTACGGAGAATGAGCGGACGGTGACCCAATCAAACGCAATCAATGGGAAATCCAACCCTTATAAGATCGACCGCACCGTGAGCACAGTGTACTAAATCATGCACTATGGAGCAGAATCGCGCGTGTCACGTAGGACAGCGTGCATCTACGTGCGACCAGTACACAATATCTCGTCCACATAACTAACCTTGTTACATGGCGCGCAACGTAAAATAAGGAGTTTAAGACGTTCATAATTATACATGGTGCTTAACGTAAAATAATACATTTAAAGCGTTTATGATAGTATATGACGCCCAGTATTAAGTGTAAAGCACATAGATACAATGCGTTCGTATTATTCAGTACACATCAATCTGAAACATTCCTACCACGGTTAGCCAGTGAACAACGTTTTAAGTTAAAATACAGTTTTTGCGAATGCGGACTAAAAATTCTTGAAAATTTAACGCGAAATCACCAATACCTTTTAAATGTTATCAAATACTTACTAATATTGCACCTGTTGATCTGGGGAAAAATGCTATAACCGACAACATTTAACACAGAATAAACACGATACTAGTCGATATAAATCGCGCATGCCGATAAAATTAAATATTTTCCGAGTTCTTGGCATCGGCGACGCGAGTCGGCTACGTGCACTATCAACCGCTTACGGCACCAGCTAAGTATTTCTAATCAAATAATACGACGTTGCATTCCAGTGTTAATGATTGTCCTTGATAAAACTGAGTACAAGCGCTGCAAAATAATAATTTCGTTTATTCTTTATTACACAGGCCGACAGAATTTGACAAAAATATTTTACCAAGAACCCGAGTATAGTTTTCCGAAGGTTTTTTGCGCGCTGAATCCGAATCCGAGGTCAGAATTACTCTGGTGGCTCCGGTTTTCGAGATATCCTAACCTTAAAGTGCAAAAAACGCGATTTTTGCCTATATTTGAGGTTATGTAGCAAAGAAAAGAAATTTTTTTTCAAAAAACTGTATACATCAAATTAAAGTATGAGTTTTCTTCTTTCAAATGCCGTTGAGTATGCTCGGATATCTTTTTTTTTCACGAAGTTACACAAATTTGAAAATTTCAAATTTTATGAATTTAAAAAGCACCACATCATTCAGCACAAGCTATCTAACAAGTAACCATATTAAAGAGCCACTCACCAATTTAAACCAAACTTGGAAATATGACAAAACACTAAAAAATATTGTGAGCATCGTGCTTCTATTTACAAAATGCTCTCTTACGGGTAGAAACCACCCCTGCCAACCCCTAAACAGGCTCACCCACATATCCCTGGGTAGAGCAAGTTTAATTAACTGCTTTTTGATAAAAAAACTCATTTTCTAATCACAGGTATGCGTACTAATATGATCTAGATAGGCCTCATCCCCAAATACCTCCTCAACCCTTTAAAACCAGCCCTCCCAACCCCTAAGCAGGCACACCCACATGACGCTGGGTAGAGCAAGTTAGCCAAGTGCTTTTTATTTCAAATTTGTGTAACTTCGTGAAAAAAAAAGATATCCGAGCATACTCAACGGCATTTGAAAGAAGAAAACTCATACTTTAATTTGATGTATACAGTTTTTTGAAAAAAAATTTCTTTTCTTTGCTACATAACCTCAAATATAGGCAAAAATCGCGTTTTTTTGCACTTTAAGGTTAGGATATCTCGAAAACCGGAGCCACCAGAGTAATTCTGACCTCGGATTCGGATTCAGCGCGCAAAAAACCTTCGGAAAACTATACTCGGGTTCTTGGTAAAATTTTTTGTCGGCCTGTGTTATTTACCGTCAGATAAATAATAAATAGAGTAAACGACGTCATATTGATGTTTTGATGTTTTTGACTGCAAAATTGGTGTCTGCGTGCAAATAAGTTCGTTCTAAAAACTAAAATAAACTTTTTTACCATCTATTTTCTACTAAAGATTTTTTTATCGCTGCGTATCTAGTTTAAAACGCTACAAAGCAACAAGCAATAGTATGATATTGAAATGGGTTGATTATTCTTAATAATCTAGTTCTTAAAAAGCTTTCACGTAATGCAGTTCATTCGTCTTATAATGCATTTATGTTTCATGTATAAGACTTGTTGCAATGAAATGAAATGTTTACCGTACTAAATTAAACCATGCTACAAGTTCTAATTAAATTGTGAACGTCTTTGTTTTTCCTATTTGCGCAAACAAAAAAGAGTTATAAGAATTACAGTAGTTTTATTGATCAAAGTAGAGACACAATTAAAAATTGAAGTTACTGATAGATTGCCAAATGTTCTCTGC